ATGCCTTCTAAGGTCATATTTAGGGGCACTTGGTGATACCTCTTTTACAACTGGTTGCATGTTGTCTTCCAGATGTAGGATACGAAACTGATAACTCAGTTCCACTGGAATTGCACTGGAGTGGAGTGGACTGGATTAGGGAGCAGCAGGGGCATTGATTTTGGTTGCTGTAATTTTTCCTGTGAGTGACATGTTTCCATTGGTCCTCCTCATATAAAGGGTCATTTCTTTTACAAATTGTTTACTGCTTATTGTGTTCAGTTTGGAGTTTCTCATTTTGTAAGTTTAGTTTCAAAGTGATTTGAGTTGCTTTTTTCTTCCAGTAATTCAACTAGTTTATATTTGGTACATATTCCATGGACACATGTATATACATGGAACATATTTTACAAATCACAATAGTGTCAATTACTGTTTCCATGACTATGTTTGTTTTGCTATTGGGATGAGGCTGCTTAACAAAGAGAAGGATGTTTTATCTGCACAAAAAGTGTTGAATTCTCAGACTACTTTTTAGGAGGTTGTCAGCCATTCCAATTTGGTCAATAGAAAAGAAAGACTCCCACAGTCATAGCAGTTGAAAGTATGCTTTACTAAGGGCAAATGGTCATAAAGCCAAATCTAGCGTTTCGCACCCAAACCAAGCAGTTAATTTTTCCCTTGGAATCCATCTCCCTCCCCATTATCTGTTAATGATCAATCACTTTCAAATAAATTGTTTTGGTAACAGTCTCCAGCTGCATGGGCTTGAAGATGTTGCATTCCATTGGGTGACCTTGGAACAGATTGCAGCTTCCATGGGATGGTACGAAGGCTTTCACTTTCTTTTCCTCATCTGCTCCCCTCCATTTGCCCATCCCACAGTTCTCTCTCTCCCTGTTACTTATGGCAGCCTGACATCTAGCTAAGCAGGTCCAGGGTAGTGGGATGGCAGGCCTGACATTCTGCCCCTACTGAAAGGTGGCTAAACTGGGGGAAAGAAGAAAAAATGAAGGGAAGGGAGAGAAAGGGAGATGAAGACACAGGTTTAGACAATCACCTATGTCACGGGTTGGCAACCCGCGGCTCCGGAGCCACATACGGCTCTTTCAGCCGTCTCCTGCGGCTCCCAGCCATGTGCAGTGCCAAAAAAAATAGGACTAAAAAAGTTGAACCAATCAATTCAAACTTCTCATGAAAGAAGTTTGAATTGATTGGTTCAACTTCTTTGGTTTGTGGGATGCTGTTCGCCATGGGCTCGACACAGACAGGAGGGGGGGGAGAAAGACAGCTCCGGAGGGAGACACCCCTTTAGCAAGAAGCCGGCGGTCCGAGCGGAGTGGCACGGAAGACCTACTGGTTGGTGTGGGAGGCTCCAGCGTTGCCGGTGAGTAAGGCCTGGTGTCCCTAGCCCAGTTCCACACCCCAACAACCAGCTGGACCAGCTTTCACTGCTTCTTTGCAAACGAACGCAAAAGGTTTCAGGGTTTTGATTGCTGCTGCCTGCCTGCCTGCTTGCAGGCCTCCGTGCTCCTTCCCCAAAGCATGCAACTGCTCAGAGCCCGTCGCAAAAGGTGCTGCTTCCCTGGCAGGAGCCGAGTTTGCAAGCCTCATTGGCAAGTCGGGAAAACTGAAGGTCTGGAGGATTCCCTCCTGATGCAGAGCTGCAGTGCCTGGTCCTGGGCTGACGGGGGAGGGGGTGGGGGGTATCCGGGGACTAAAAAGTCCTCCAGGACAGGCTCGGGGCCGGCCCTCTTTCCCCAGCTGCAGGAGAAGGGGAGGCGCAGGCTCTCAACCCGGGCAGGCAGGCGAGGAAACCCCGAAAGCAGGAGGGAACCCTCCAGACCTTCAGTTTTCTCGGCTTGCCAAAGAGGCTTGTAAACTCGGCTCCTGCCAGGGAAGCTCCTTCCCCAAACCATGCAATTGCTCAGAGCCCGTCCCAAAAGGTGCTGCTTCCCTGGCAGGGGATTCAACCCTTTCTCCATTCCTCCACCCCCACCCATCCTTGTCTTGATAGAAAAATGTATGGTTTTGTACAGCAATGAAAGCCCCGTATCTGTTAATAACTGCAATCCCGGCTTCGTGCTATTCAGTGGGAAGGTTTCAATAAAGTTTTTTCGAAACCCGCATTTATTGACACCGCATATGAGCACACACTCTCCCTAGTCTATTAGATCCATTTCTATTGAGGAATATTGCAAACGGGGACAAACCAGGTGCACGACTGGGGGGCAGAGAAAGAAAAGGTGGGGGAGGGAGGGCAAGGTAAAGGGGAGCGGGGAATCCCTTTTCCTTGGCTCCAGGAAAAGCGGCTTTCTAACCGCCTCCCCCCCACTTGCCTACGAGAAGAAAAGCAACCTCTGTTGGGCAGCTTCCCTTGCCCCGTTTTCTGCCTGCCTCTGTCCCTCTTTGAGATTTTTTGTCCCTTTAGTCTCCCATTAAACCAAGGAGGAGAATGTGAAAAGGGGGGAAAATGCCCAGGAGGAAGCAGGAGCAACCCAAGCGCCTCTCTTCACGTAGGTGCTCCTTTCCCCCCCTTCTATGTCCCCCTACCTTCCCTTTTCCTTTTTTTCCTGTCTCCGACCTCCCCCTCTGCAGCCTCCTCAGTTGTTTTGTGCACTAGGGTTACAGAGGTGAAACTGACAAAGACAGCACCCGGGTTATGCCTCTTTTAGGTCTGAGCTAAGGCAGCCATGTTGGTGATGAACAGCCTTGTGCCTTTTTAATTTTTTTCTCCTCTCTCCCTCTCTCTGTTTCTCTGTGTCACAGTGCGTCTGTGTGAGCTCGAGAGAGGGAGAGAGTGTGTATGTGTGTGTGTCTTCTCCTCCTCTCTTTCTTCGCTCTTCTAGCTCTTTCCCCTCCCCTTTCTTTTGATTGTGCATTTGTGTGCATGTACGGGTGGCTTTCTCATTTTAGTTTGAAGGGGGTCTTTTTTTATTGGGGTGGGCAGTCGCAATTGGAAGGGTTTCTGGTGTCTTGTGCGGAATCGGTTGCGAGGTCCGTCTCTGGCTAAAGGTTGTGGCTGGGCTGGTCGGCCTCGGAGCTGGGGAAGAGGCGGGAGAAGGCGAAGAGCAGCGGGGAGGATGAGACAGCGGCTGGGTGGGGGGGATAGGGACACAGGGGACTCCGGGTCTGCCACTTTGCCGCCGCTGAGAAGTGCGGGGAGGGCGAGAGGGAGATCATGGCATGCGAGGTCCCTGCAGAGCAGAGGGGGTGGTGGAGGCGGTGGCATAGCAGCGGTGGTGGCAGGCAAGCTGGAGTCTGCTTTGCCCCCTCGCTGCAATAAAATGAAGGGTCAGATGGAGCCTCAGCAAGCCAAAGGTTTACGTGTCTCTGCCCCAGACCAGAAGGAAGGACTGAGAGGCAGGAAGGGCTGAAAGCGCGAATCACCCCCACTTCCCCCACCTGCTTTCGGGGTTTTTCTCGCCTGTGGCCAGGGAAAGAAGGCCCTGTCGGGACCTTCGGTTTTCCCAGCTTGCCAATGAGGCTTGCAAACTTAGCTCCTGCCAGGGAAGCTCCTTTCCTGAAGCATGCAATTGCTCAGAGCCCATCCCAAAAGGTGCTGCTTCCCTGGCAGGAGCCGAGTTTGCAAGCCTCTGTTGAGGCAGAATTGGGGGAACACAAATCACAGCGGAGCTTTCATCTCGTGCTGTTGCCAAAGTGAAGCGGCAAAACCCCGCTTGGCCTCATCCTGCAGTAAGTCTTCCCTGGGCAGCCCTTTATCCATGTTCTGCGATCGCAAGATTGTCAAGAGGGGATGAAGTACCACTCTGTGATTGTTTACCTCGCTTTTTGGTCAGTGCACTCAATTCAGAATCAAGCCCCATTACGTGTGTGAGCATGCGTGTGCATGTGCGGGCGCATGAGCACATTTTGCGGCTCCCAGTTGTTGTTTTTTTTGTGAGGGAAACGGGTCCAAGTGGCTCTTTCACCGTTTTAGGTTGCCGACCCCTGACCTAGGTCAATCAGGGAATTGTTCGTGGAATTGTTTGACAAGGCGGCGTGGGGGGGGGATAAACGTGTTAAGCAGCCACCCATTCAGTCTCTGAGGGAGGGAAGTCCTTCCATAGGATCAAGTACTGGAGTTTTCCCCTGTGAACACAGGAATCCAAAATTTCCCTAACTTCAAAGTTTGCTTTCCCTCAATCAAAATGGGCATGGGGAGAGCTTTGTCAGTTGGGTTCAAAGGGAATTGGACTGCTGCTTTCAACAAACTACAGTAAGGCACAGAGTGAACCTGACGAAGATATTTTGGTAGTTTTAATTCTATAGCCACTGGGTTGATGAGGTGAATGATGGAGAAGGGGCCAACGTATTTGGGGCCCAGTTTTTTGGAAGGTAGTCTGCATAGCAAGAACTTCATAGGTAGGAAGACCTACTCTGAACTCCTTTTGCAGAGCTCTCTTTTTGTCAGCATATTTCTTGTATTCCTTTGGCATGGGCTTGGCATTTTACTGCTAGGGGTTCTGCAGGGGGGGTCCATCCACTCAAGAAGGTGTGGCAAGAGACATGTTGGGGGAGCTCGGAAATGGGATTGAACACCTGGCCTATGGCAACATGAAAGAGGGTGAGTCCTGTGCTGCTGTGGACTGCATTGTTATAGGCGTCCTCGGCAAATAATGTTGGACATAATTGTTACTATGTTTTAATTAACATTATTTTCAAGTGTTTCCTGCAACTGTATATTAAGAAACTAGATATACCATGTATTATGATGGAAAACAGATTATTGCCCTCATGCCAGCTGTGGTTAGGGCTGGAGCCTTGGGGGGAGGGAACGGAGGATTGGTGGGGACAGGGTTCTTTTACCCTCAAATACATACTTATATATGTATGAATTCATACCCTAAATATGTTTTCAAATCATTTAAAATGCTCAGAGTTCCCAAAAGAGATTAAAAAATCCCTGGTTTGAAATAATTCAACTATTTCTTTAATTTCAAAAAAGTGAATTTTGCAATCTGCAATTAGAATTACTGATACTAAAATTTTACTATTTCAGCTTAAATGTTCACACTAACCTTTTTAGCAAGTGCATAATTGATCTGGAGACTGACTTGATAGCCATCCTTATGAACAGTAGCAGAAATAAGCTAAAAAAAGACAAATAGTGATTAGCTTTGCTTTTTACTTACTTCTTCCTATCTAAAGAGAAATAGCGCTAATCATTTCCTTATCTAAATAAATGATGAGGACTAATATTGAATGTTTATCTATACAAGACAAATATGTTCCTGAGTATAGAAAATTATCTTCAATCTGCTTTGGATGCATTCATATTCCTCTGAAGAATCAGATTTGAAGTCTGGGGATATTTCTGGGAATACTATTAGTATTTCAGCATCGAACCAGAAGAGTACAGGTTTCTGTTGCTAGAAGAACAGTTGAGTGTTAGAAATCATTGGTTAGTAGAAATAGGAAACAGCTAGGCTTCATTAATATGTTCCCAAACAGACCAGTGTTTCTTTCTACTGACAGGAGAACAAGAACTGAAGAGGAAGCAAAAAGGCCACAATTGTAAATAAAATATGATTATAAGAGTTTACACAGTGTCATTGGAAGGAAAGGAAAAGAAAGGGGAAGAAGAAATTAAACATGTTGGCCAGAAGGCAAATTATCTTTAGTGATTTTGAGGGGTGGAAGTGGAAGGATGTCATTTCATTCATCCAGCGGCTATTAAATAATTTTCCCTGAAGTGAATAGAGATTAATGGCAAGTTGAAACATTTTCACATTTTATGGAAAGGTTTTATTTCTTTGATACAATCCCTTCATTTCCATTCTTCAATTTCTCTCAAAGTGATGAAGGAGATGCTCACAAGGTAGGCAAGAGAAGGTTCTCATTTTGTTATACAAAAGGAGCAGTATAACTTCTTTTTATGGCAACTGCAGCAATCTCTCTTGAAACAGAGAAAGATAGAAGACAATAGCAAGAAAGAAAAAAAATGACTTTATCTCCATTTGATCTTCTTTTGAGAAAAGATGTTTAACTAGACTGGTTGATTTACATACTTAAAAGACATACAGAATAAGCACAAATACAAAAAAACAACAGGAAAAAACTACTGAAGTTTAGATCATAACAATAGCCCTATGTAGTGACGGCTTGAAGTTACGATGGTGCTGAAAAAGTTAATGTTATGACAAATCCTTGGACTGTTGCATCATCCCTATAGCAAATAATTGCCATTTGTGTGCTTCACATCTGACTTCAGAGTTAATGGAGAAGACAGTAGTAAAATCGCAAGTCATGGTCATCTGATGTTCGGTTTAATAAACTGCAATGTTCGCTTAATGGCCGCATGAGAAGTGATGTTGTAAGTGTATCACATCGTATGATGTTTTTATTAGTGCCCTTTTGCTTAGCAATGGAGTTGATGGCCCCAATTGTGGTCGCTCAGCAAAGATTACTTACATCTATTTTACCAAGGAAAAAAGCAGATAATATTTTTCCTCGAAGGATGCTAGCAGCATCACAGCAGGAGGTCTAAGCTGTAATGGTTTCTTATATCAGGAATTTTTTTACCTTTCCCATCTGAGGCTCTCCAATTAATGTCCTGAACTCCATATTATTTTGTGTATAGCTTCTAAGATGTGCACAGACATGATCTAATTGCTTCCTCCAATAGCCTGAAAATAAAAAGTGAGGAAAAAAATCACATGAAAAACATCAACAGACTTTGCACACAGAATATTTAAACAATCTTGATACGAATTTAAAAACCCACAGTTCATAAAATCATAATATAGATAGTCCTTGAATTACAATAGTCTGTTTACTGATCGTTCAAAGTTACAACAGTGCTGAAAAAAGTGAGTTATGACCATTTTTCACACTTACGACCATTGCAGCTTCCCCATGGTCACATGACCAAAATGTAGACACTTGGCAACTGACTCATATATATGACAGTTACAGTGCTGAGATCATGTGATCACTTTTTGAAACCTTCTGACAAGCAAAATCAACGAGGAAGGCGGATTCACTTAACAACCATGGCAAGAAAGGTCGTAAAATGGGCAAAACTCACTTAACAAATGTCTTAGCAACAGAAATTTTGGACCCTATTGTGGTCAGAAGTTGCGGACTGTGTATTAGAAGTAACTGAGTAATCATCTACTTCAATTTGCCGCTCAATGCAGGATCCATTACAGAATTCCTCCTGGTAAATTTTTCACTTTATTTCCAAAGTTAAAATACAAACTTCAAAAAAAGAAACAATAACAAAGCAAAAACTAAACAAGTCAAAATATGCATGAAAAGCAACATACACATATATTGTCCCCTGTAGTTGAATACTGATTATTTCAACAATAGTTCTCTCCCTTGCAAAACAGTCTACAATTTATAAACTTGATGTCAGAATCCAATTATATTTCATTTCTATCTACCTGCTCTGATATAAAACCAATTCTTACTCTCTCCTGAATTCTGTCATACTACTAAGGGGGAGGGGGGTAAGCATGGGACCTTTATGACTTTCACTTCCTCTATTCACTACAAAGTAACCTTTTGTTGATTCACTTTGGGTGTACTAACCATAACAATGTGGCTATCTGCCTTCCATCCTATGTCCCTCTGAACTCTTTGCTGGCAGTGAGGGAAAAGGGAGGGGGGAAATGCAACGCCTGGGATCGGGGTAAAGAGAGGATGACTGATTGTGCCGATGGAACCGGACTGACGATATCTTTCCTGGAGTTAACACCTAGAAACCTGCTGGTTTGAATCGCCTGGAAGAACTGCGGGGTGGGGGTTGCTTGGGAACCTTAAAACATTGAATGGTTGGGGGATCGCTCAGATCCTGTCTAGCATGCCTACAGTCAATTTCTCTTAATAAAAATTTCTGTTGAAGAGACGTTTTCCAAGAGTTCTGTTTTCTTAAGATGTAGATTGAGGTGGGTCCTTACACTTCTACAGTTCTATTAACCCAGCTAATTTGATCTACTATTTACTATATAAAAACAATGAACAGGTAAATCAAACAACAAATCTAAACTTCAGTTCTCTCTGTTAATTATTATTGTATTTTACATGCAGAAAGTCCACAATGGCTTCGAATCTACCATAAACCACTGCAGTCATTATCTCTTATCTTTCCTGGATCAATCTTTGATTGATTCTTTTTTATTATTATATTTTATTGATTTTTTTACAATAACAATCTTTAGAACTTGGTAAACAACGTATTGTCTGGGTTCATAAATTTAACAACAATCAATAATAGTTAATTTCTATGATTTTATAATCAACTTATTAACTAGAAATACCTTTCCTTAATCCTCTCTTCTTCCAATAATATTCCCATTTTACCAACATTGAGCAAATATAGTTCTTAGTACTTTCAATACATACAAAGTTGAATATAAACATTTTTCTAGTATTTATGTGAATAACAATAATATCAACATGTAGCGTCTTTTCTAATCAGCTTATTTTACAGTTGTATTTGCAAAAAATCATCTTATGTGAATCACTATATGTCCTGTTTTCAGAATTCTTATTTAGGCTTAATTTCCCCTCAGTATTCAAAACATTTTTGTCAATTATAATTTTCTCAAAATTGATTACATTTAAATATCCAAAACATTTCGTACATTTAAATCATCCCATTATTTTTACATTTCCCATATCATAAAAAAATACTATACTACTTATAAATCACATCTCTCTTACTATAGAACCCATTCATATCCAAAATTTAACTATTCTTTTAACCATATTCAAACAAGTGTTTAGTTATATAGTACTCCATCTGCTAGGTCAAATCATCTCTTTTGAGTCTAGTTTTTGCCTTCTTTTGCCAAGCAGCTTTCTGAATCAGCTTGCCATGAGGTTCTTCCTGTATTTTTATAAGTGTTGTTAGAAATGGGAAAGACAAATTAAGCGCTTTTGAGGGGGAGTTTTGCCCATTTATATTCGTTAGGAAGCTTCCACTTTCCTTCTCCCTCAATTTCTGTTTTCATCTTTTGTCTCCCAAACTCTAGTGGTTCTCCTGACAGCTCTATAGTTCATTTTATCAAATCTTCTTTCTTATCCTTTTCCATTTCCAACATTATAGCAGAATCTTGCAGATTTTTCTTTGTCTGTGTTAAGCTGTGTTAAGTGATTTTCTTTGTTTGTCGCCTCCATCTTTAAATTACTTTCCTCTGGTTTTTGTTCTATTATCTGATTCATTTGTCATCATTTTTAAAGAATTTTTTAATTGTGAGTTTAGGTCAAGATGTGCTCATTTGTATCATCAAAATTATTTCTCATCATGATTTGAGACGATTTTCATTTGAATTAGTTGCAACATAGCATGCATTTCCTCCTGGAAATGTCTTGTCTTGAAGTATTGCTCCTGCAGATCTGGGGATTTTAGAAAGGAATATTGAGGGTGGTTTCCTACTACTTTTAGTTGTGTATGCACTTTCATCAAACCAACCAGTTTTAAGTTCCAAACACCATGGTCTTATATAGTTATTATCTTTATGAACAGTCCAAAATGTTCAACCACTTAAAAACAATCCAGTAATTTCCCCCTTAGAAGGATAGCCAAAAAGTCAAGATTTTTCTTTCTCTACAAACGATTCTTAAATTTAAATATCACAGCTCAGTGTTTATAATTCAAGAAGGTCGGCAGTTTTTAGAACAATTGTATTTCTCATTCTGTGATAGATAGCCCAGTGTATTTTCTTTCCTCTATTCCCAGCTGTTCTCTATTTAGCTAAGAGACACTGTAGATCAAAGAAACAAGCTGTGCTCTGTTTCTGGGCGTCTTGCTAATTTCTGAGGCAGTGCAGCTATAGTTCTATACTCTGATCCACCACTCGATGTCAGTACCTATTTATTTTCCAATCTCCAAAACGAAAAAATTATTTTCTTATAATTTCATCAATATTTTTTTAATTGAAATTTCATCAATATTTTCAAATGGAAAATCTTAGCAATTTCCATAGTTTTCAATTTTATTCTGATTGTAGCTTTACATTTAATCCATTTCAATGTATTTCTATCCCCCATAAAAATTAAATTGTTGCTTCCATCTATGGAGGAAGGGGTTATAATCACCTTCCTTCTCACTTTCGGAGGATTTTTTGCTTCTTGGGGATCTTTTCCAGGAAATCAGTTTCAAAATAGAGAAGATCGATATTCTCACCCAGTTTCAAACATGCTGTTCACAGTTGTTCTTAGTTGGTGCTTTTGGACCTGTTCAGATGCCGGTAGCTTGGGCTAGTCACCAGACAGGTTGGAGGGCTTTCCTTGGATCAAACGGATCGACTGCCATCTTTCCATGATCGATGGGGCCCCTCCTTCATCGCCTCTCTGGGGCAACTTTAGATCCATTTAAGGTCTCCTCGCAGGGTGAAGACAGCTGTAGGATGCAGAGCCCTGCAATCCCTTGACTGCATTGCTATGACGCAAAACCGGAAGTCAATCTTTGATTGATTCTTAATAATGAAACTTTTCCTTAGAATTATAACTGGGATCTTTCCAAACAATTGCATCTCATTCCCCTAAGTCATAGATCTCTATTGTAAATATCCCTGCAGCACTTGTTCAGAAGGTTTTTGTACAAATTAAATCATAACTTCTCTTAACAGTTGTCTTCTGACTGAATATAATAAGTCTATTCCACAATCTCCATCAGTTTTCTTAAGAATGCCCAGTTCATCACTGATCCATATTGCAATATCTAAGCTTTTAAATTCATGCCCCTTTCAGCCTTCTCCAATTAGCTTGCAATTCTCAAACAAAGCTCCTCCTTCAGTTCTAAAGCAACAAACTGACTTCCAATCCACCCAATTGCAAGTTTTATTTAGCTGCTATTACTTGTATCTGAGTATCATCCTTAGGTTGATTTATGACTGTTGTTAAATCATCAAACATTTTATCTAAATTTTCATTCAGAGCTTATAAATTGAAAAGCATTCTCCCCCTTCCCGGAAGGCTTTCAAGAAGGCTTTAACATTAAGTTGATCTGGGTTAATTGCTTCCATTTTTAATATAATACAAATTGCTTTGCAGCAAAATGTAGGCAATTCCTCTTAAGGACAAAAGTAGAATCCTATAACAAAATGGTATAAGAAAAATTAAGATAATATTTCCCACGATAGAGAGTAAATAGAAAAGAAAGGGAAAATTCTCATCTCTTTAGAGAGAGAAAGAAAAAAGGCCAAAATATATATATACAAAAGAAAACTAAAGCAGCAATTTTTTAAAGAACTAATAAAATACAAAATCCTTGCAGTAGAAATCCAATGTAAATATAAATCAAATCAGATCACTTTCACTTCCAAGGAGAAAGTCGGTTCCCATAGTTGGTTTCTATATGGCAAAAAGGAAATGGTTTCATAACTCTAAAGCAAAGCAGTAAAAAAAGTAAAAAGTTCACGGTCCAGCAAGGGGGTATGAAATAAATCAGTGTTCAACCAGATGATTAATTAGAGATATAAGTAAAAAAAAAAAAGTTTAAAACAGTGCTGTTTAAAACTGAGGCACACCTAAAAAGAAAAAGTCACAGAGACGATCAACCTATTCTCCTAGGGCAGGATAAGAAGTAACTGATAGAAGTTTATCAAAGAGAGATCCAACCTAGAATTAAGGGGAAAAGTCCTGTCAGTGAGAACAATTAATCAGTGAAACTGCTAGCCTCTGGAAGTTGTGGATGCTCCATCACTGGAGGTTTTTGAGAAGAGATTGGAAAGCCATTTGTTTGGTATAAGGTTTCCTGTTTGAGTAGGGTGTTGGACTAGAAGACTTCCAAGGTCCCTTCCAATTCTGTTAATCTGTTATTCTGTTCTGTTATTCTTTTTGTTGTATTTTTTTACTGAATAAGTTATAGCCTTCCAGTGCTGTGTGTCAATCAAGAGAATTCCTGATCATGTTTTAGTGATGCCTATCAACAACAGATTTATCTTCCTAAGCTAACAGTCTCTGGTTCTTCCTGTTTATTTCCCATATTCCACACATTAGTGTAAAAATATCTGACATTTGAATAGTACCATTTATTGGCCCATTGGAATTTTACAAATTTTGAGTCCCTGTCCTAGTTTTTAATTCTCCCTTTATGTTTTCTGATTTCTTGGCCTCATTCCTTGGCTGAATAATTAGCTTTAGGCTTCATTCTACTGAATTTCTTTTTTTAAAAAAGATAATTTTGAAATTAATTTCAGTGCATATATATATGCACGTACAGCGACACAATTTCTATATTTTTAGGAAAGCTTGTCCTATACTGACCAATTTTCATTAACATATGGAGTAGCCTGCAGTTCATATTCATTCTGATCAGTCGTCTTCTTCAAGGCAGAATACAGAAAGATGAAAAGTGAAATGATGGGTTGACTTTAGAAGACGGATAGAAGAAACTGTTACAATTAAAAACAAAATTACAACAAAGAAAGGAAGTCAATGGCAGGCAAGAAAAAGAATGAAATCTATATAAGAAAAATATGGTAATTCAAGAATCCAGGAACTGAATAGGAATAACTTGTAACCGGGCCAAAGCCACCCTGTAGAGGAGATGGGTAGCATAAAAGCTAAATAAATAAATAATAAAAAGGACATAATGCAGAAAAATGGAAAACCTTAAAGTTAACTGTTGAGTTTCATTTTAAATCAGCTTTTTTCATACCTCTTCCAGGGCTGATAGCTGTGAGCAGAGATTTGTGATTATTTGTCTTAATCTGCTTCTCCTTTTGCAAGAATGCCTCACTTTCTTTCTTCTCTAGATATTTGTGAGATGGGTAGAACAATCCAACAGTCTGAGTTCCTTGGTCTTTTTTCTCTTCGGTGTCAGGTCTTGAGATTGGCAATGAAATAATTGATTGTTGTTTGATTCGAAAGTTGATATTCTGTTAAAATAATTCAAATAATATAAGAATCCCACTAATGCATTTTCCCTAAACCAAAAATTAACAACAAAAACAAACAAGCAACAGGGATGATAAAGGGCTTGGAGGCTAAATTGTATGATGAATGGACATGTCTAGCCTATCAAAGAGTAGGATAGGTGGGGGGGGGGAGTGATAATTGTCTTCCAATACTTGAATGGCTCGATGCTTTCTCTAGAGTGCCAGAGGACAGGACAAGAAGTATGGGTGGAAGTTTCTGACAGTAAGATCAATTAATTAATGGAACAGCTGGCCTTCTGATGTTGTGGGTGTTCCATTATTGGACGTTTTCAAAAATAGACTGGACAACCATTTGACTGTGATGGTGTAACATTCCTGCCTTCAGCAGTGGGTTGAACTAGACCTCCAGTCCTATGATTTTAATTTTTTAGGAAACAAGAGCTATCTTCTTACATCTACCAGTATGATGTACTGACAGTTCATTGACAGTTTATATATAAATGTGGGGCATCCAATTGATACTAGATGGCAATAAAAACAGACATGGTGGTGTTGGGTTAGTGGCTGACATTAACAGAGATTAAATACCTTATACACAGGCACTGAATGATAGAATGGTGTAAATCAGGCATGTCAAATTGCCGGCCTGTGGGCCGGACGCATCACGAGGAAACTGCACCCACTCCATTGCCAGCAATGGGGGAAAAGTTCCTATGTCGTGCAACGTCATGTGACATCGTGAGTTTGACGTGTGGTGTAAATGAATCTAACCTAAGTACATCAGGTTTGTTCACATTGTATTTCAAGAACTTGAGTTCTGTGAAAGCTGGAAGAGCGCTCTTATATTATTAAAATATATATTAAGCACATGATCAAATCTATAAATGGCCTTAGGTAAAAAAAAACTTCTGATTTTAAAATGCTATAACCTTTTCTCTTTCCAGATAACACATTTCATTCTGCCTCTATTTGAAAAAAAAAGTGGATGAACCAACATAGAACTGAGATCCAAACTGAGTCGATCACCGGGATCAGAGGTTTATAGTCTTCCAAGCTTTCACGCTAGAGCCCATCCTCAGAGAACTTTTCTCTCTCACTCCATCACGAGTCCAAAAGCTTGGAAGAGTAAACCTCTCAAGATTAAAACTCTCATCCCAGTGACCGACTTAGATTGAATCCTGCAACATTATTTTAGAACACATATATTTGCCTTCATTTGTGATAGAATTGAGAACATATATATTTGGTACTAAAATATCCATATATACTTTCTCTGTCTTAAACATCTTTTGAAGAGATCTATTGTTTCAAGAAATGCAAATCTTTTCTAAAATTAAACTAAAAAGATTAGAATCTTGTTGGGGAAGATTTCTAAAAATCATATTATTATTATTTACAAATAGGTCTTCCAAAATAATAACTAAGGATCTTTTAGTTGGATTTAAGATTTCCCAAACATCACTAAATCTAACAAGTAGAAAACCTGTAATCTAAATTTGTTAATTTGATTTTGATTAGTTTTATACTTATCAGATTGGGTTGGGAAAGAGTTGAGACAATGGGTGTCAGGTCGCCATCTTGAGCTTGGCGCCTTGCTAGCATCCCTGCCATCAAAGACTAGGAGGGAGGAGGGGGTCACGGGGGGGGGGAACAAATGGGCAATCAACCTGTATTTATGATAGGAAACAGGGAGGGGGGAATGACAACTTGATGAAGAGCAGGGAAGCTCGGAACCAGTTTGTGTCAGCATCCAAGGTCATGCAAACTGAAAAAAAATGTGGATTTACCCCAAACACCTCAGCATTCTCAAAACATCTAAGTGGATTCTTATTGGCTGAAGATGGATTGGTCATGGAGGGAAGGCTGGGATGAGAAGAAATTTTTTGTATCTTTTGACTGTGGGAAATGTAATTCTAACCTAACTCTACTACAACCAATATCTTTTAATAAAAGAACCTATCACTTCAACTAAACAGAGTCAAGGGTCTTTCTTTCCTAAGAGATTGGATTGGGGCAGACCTGACATTAGGCTAGAACTACAATTGTAGTCGACCCGGAGAGGAAGCTTCCTCTAGCGTGGGGACCATGCACACAATGTCCACTCAAAGGTGCAATCAGGAGGAGATCAAAGCCTGTGGGGGAGGCGTCTTAATATCCCCTCCAAGACTGGACCTCTCTGAATGGCTGGGAGATGTGTCAATCGATCAAGAACCCAATGGTCCCTTGAGGTTGGGAAGAAGGAAGATTGGTAAGAAAAACCCATGGGGGGTGAATTTTACTCATGGAAGCCATGGCAGCCACTGGCGAGACCAGGGAATGGAGCTGGAGGAGCTAGAGGAGGAACCAATCATGGGGGAACTGGACCAAGAGGATTGGATGATGAAGCAGGCTATAAAGTTCTTACAGGGGGCTTTCGATAACCTCAAAGCAGGTGAAGCCTTGGCCTGAGCAAAGCATCCCACCACCTGGCCAACTCCAGCCACAGTGAGCAATGGTACAACCTCTTCTGCCACTGCTACTACAGCGACATCAGCTCTCATAGCAGTGGCAATTTCCCCAGCCCTGGCTCTGCTGCCCAACCTGCACTGTCTGTGGATGCAGCACTGGCGAGGCAAAGAGTCACAAGACACCAGCCCTTGGCCTGAAATTTAACGGAGACATCAAGCAATTGGGATTCTTCCTGGTGCAAATTTGGATCTAAATGCAAGAGTATGGTGCAAAAATAGCTGATGGGGCCAAGGTGCAGTGTGTGACTATGGCACTAGAGAGGACCATCGTAGAGTGGATGGTTACCCTCCACAATGATGTCTCAGAGCTGAGAAACTTCGACCACTTCATGGCAGTACTTCAGATGCATTTTGAAGACTCCCTAGCCGACCACCAGGCTAGGGACCACATAAAAACCACCAGCCAGGGCCAAAGGGAAGTGGCCAAATACGCCAGGAGTTTTGCAACCTGGCCTGCAGATTGACTGGCCACAGGACATGTTGATTGGGTGTTTTCGAGATGGGCTGAGTCATAAAGTCTACAACACCTGCATCTCCAGGAGAGCCCCTCCCCTCCATGGCTGGTATATCATGGTGGAGGAGGTAGAAATTGACCAGGCTTGGTCTAAATATCATCCAAGCCATGGGTGGCAAAGATCTCTCCCTGAAAAAATAGAGGTTCCAAAGCCACTGCCACATGACCAGAGCACACACTGAAAATCCACCAGCTGCTTCAAGTGCAGGAGAGAGGGGCATCAAGCTGCCAATTGCTGAGCCACATGCCTGACCCAGAAGGCACCTCCAGGATCTGCCAAAAACCTGTGAAACCACCACAGAGAATGCTTGCTTTGTGTGGTTTTGTTATTTGATTAATTTTATTTGACTTGTAAAGACTCATGACTGGTTTTAGGTTTTGGCTTCCCATGGTCCTAATTGTGTCAAGCAACTGTGATTGGCTTTACCCTGTTACCTATAGTCTGTCTATTACCTTAAGACGTCTCTTTTAATAAACAGGTAGGCTTGAGGCAATGTTTCCATTTTTCTCAATGGCCAGGGGTTGCTCAAATTCATGAGTGAAACATTGTTTCTATATTTCTTCTCCTAAACTTTATTCTTGTGATTTGGGCGGCATAGCAAAAAGGATTGGGGGTGTGTGCATTCTTACCACAATCCCTGCTTTGTGCCAAATAAGTATGGAGGATGGGTGGGTGGCACCCATACTTATATTGGCACAAGATTAAGAATTGATTTGATATTTTTTTGTATTTGATGAGTGCTTTCATCAGAGTACTGGTATGTGGGGAAACAAGTTCTTAAATTGTTAATGTGAAGGAAAAAGGCTTGTTAGAGTCAGTAAAAAAGTATCCCTGCAGTGGCTCCCAAAAGGAGAGCTTTCAATCCATGAATATGTCTGGCTGAAGTGGGACCTGGGAAAGTCTGTTTCACTCTGTTTGCAGTGGTGACTTTCTAGTAGATGACCAAATCCAAACCCAATTTTCTGGCTCAAATGGATGGAGAGTCTCTTCTGGAGGCAGTATCTGGGTCAGTATGCTCTGCTTCCAAAGATTGTGGAGTCATCTGTGCAGGGCTGAAAGATATGAGACCAAGACCTACTTCCCCCTTTGTGAGTGACCCTCCCAGAAGAGATGTTGTTGGTCTGACATAGGAATGAAGAACAGAGGATAAGAGAAGGAGAGATGGAGTGGGGTGGATACTTTGCAGGCAGGGCTTGAATGGACATTAATACTGCAATTGTTAATGAAACAGATAAACCAGTCACAAACAAATGGGGACACCACAGATGAGGAAAAAGAGAAGCTGGATTCTGGTAATTAGGTAAAATGAAAGAGAGCAAGAAAAGATGAAGGGTATTGCCTCTGTAACTGAACAAATGCAACATAAATTTTGTAAAGCACATGTGAGGATTTTAGGACTTGCAGTTGAGAATGCTGGGCAGATAGAGAATGCTGAAAGTTCCAAATAATTTTATAAGCCTAATATTTTGATGTGTACAATTTGTCAGGAGCATGGAGAGTCAACCTTTAACATTTGTTTTGAAATTTTTTAAAACATCCTGACAACATTTGGCCCAATATTATCAATACAAAATTTAGATGAAAAGACCATATTATTTTAGAGATCAAAAAAAATGCTTATACGTGCCTGACTTAATTCCATAGTAATTTTACTGACTACTGATAGGATAAGAAAATTAACTTAAGAAAAAGGTTATTTCCCTACACAAGCAAACTTGAGTTTCATGGGGCTCCTGTGATGAACATATCCCATGTTTTAGGAAAAGGATGGACAGATAATACACACTTAAACACATACAGTAAATGCAGGAATTTTTTTTTTCTCTCTAAATGAACTTAAAACATTTCCTCCTGACAACCTTGCTTGTTTTTTTTACTGTTCTTAAAAGTACAGAGGGAAAGAAAAAGGGAACACAATTCTCTTTATCTTGTTTTGCTGGCCAGGCAAACTAGGGTGAAGTTATTTTTCTTTTGGTGG